TTTGACACGCCCTGTCACATTGCTCAAATGAAGAGCACTGAAAGACAAAATAAAATTCTTGCAAGTAAGTTAATCTTCTTTTTGAATAGTTCATTATCTTTTTAATGAAGTTTATAAAAAAGTTAGTTACATACCTGTTCTATAATAGATAGTTAAAGCACGGCAAAAGACTGCTAAATTGTTAAACAGCCTCTACACTATCCCCGGAATGTTTTACGAGATAGGGCAACGGTCTAGCTACGTTGAAACACCGGTTCCCATTAGAACACCGAAGATAAGCGACGTAAGGAGATACTGGTGGATGGACGGGTGACCGGTTCGAAACTCTGTATCGTGCTGTTGTCCAAGGGAAAAGTGTAAAATCTATTGATACACACTGCTCATTCACGCCGGTTCCAGGCCGGATGAGATCGGATATCTCGTGAGTCAGAGTTGATTTAGACACTTCCTAAGTCGGTAGGCCATTGACCATGATATGGCCGAGCACCGCGGTTCGAATTCCGCGTAAACAAAGTAGGCCCCGTCCAGATTAGCCCAGGCAGCAAAAAGGAGACATTAACTGAAATATTTACTTTACTTTTTTTTACGAAATATTTTTGGAAATATTTCGTAAAACATTTCGCAAAACATTTCTGGAATTAGCACGAAGCAATCAAGGTCAAACGTAGTTGTGGCTTCAGAAAAATAAGTAAACATAGAGCATGAATAAATTTTGCTAATTTGTAATGGAGTGTAATGTAATACCACTATATTAAACTGGTATGAAAAATCAGAAACAGTGCATTTAGAAAACAGTTACCGATGGTAGATTAAATTGGCTATTCCTCTAGGTTACACAAGAATATTTAGAAAATCCTTTATGGGTATTTCGCCACTGCACTGCAAGAAAATCTACAAAATAAAATAGTTATTTTTTTACTTCTGCGTTAAACCTAAACGGACACTGCTTGTCAGAACTTATGTTTACAGTTATACAAATTTGCCTAACAAAGAAAAAAATGCTTAACGTCTCGGAAAGTTTATCTCTTTCCGTCGTCGGAAGCAAAAAAAAATACAAAGAATAAAGAAAAAACTATTTAAAATATTTAAATTTAATTATTCGAGAACACTTTACTTTTTTTAAAACAGATACGTCTACAAGAAACCGTTGACGTTCTGTTTGTTTTTACGTGTTGTTTTTGCTAACGGTAAAAAAAATCCTTTGCCTCGGGTACAGATACCGCCACGTTTTGGAAATAGGTCAAAACGAAACAAAAAACAAAATACGCCAAAAAATACCCCCCGCCTTCCCCACGAGTAGTTTTCAGTCGCTTTTAAGAATCGAAAGTTGGTCGAGGCAAACCGAAGTGGGTCAAGACAACTGGAAATAAATCGAAATACGACGAAGTTGAGCGACGAAATAAGGCCTTGACCTGTTTCGAAGAGTTCTCCGCATAGTGTAGAGGCTGTTTTAGGGGGAATATGGAGATACTTGACGTAACGTTAGTCAATGGTTGTACATAATATACATAGGTCACATATTAAGATACTTTTTTGTTGATATCACGTCAAAAAATTCTGAAAAATATTAAAGTGTAAATTTCATAAATTATATTATTGTATGGATGGAATTCAGGCAACAACATTGTCGCTAAATAAATAATGTTTAAACATAATTAACTTTCTAGATAGTAACTTAAAATATACCTAATCCTAAATAACCTTTTTATTTTTAAGGTGAAAAACACTTAACCAGAGATTCGTGCTTATGCGATGCCTGCTACAGACACGTGGATCGCAAATCAAATTCGCCCTCTTACATAAACAAATCCTTAAAACGAAACTCTTTGGTCGCGCCCGGACCCAGACAGAACCATTGTCACGTGCTCGGCTGTAACAACGTCTCCAACAATATCCTACGTCGCAAGTGGATCATTAAAATGCGAAAAAGTATCTGCCAAGCGGTAAGGGATCACAATTCAACGTACGTATGCGTAGATGTATTTGTTTAAATGTATCTATTTCGTCGTTACAGATTAATATCGATCTGGACAATCCCGGTCTGCATTTGATTCCGCTTTGTGATGAGCACTTCACTGCCTTAGAACATTTGATGGTGTGCGCCATGTGCAAGAGGCGCTTGGCCAGGAATCACATACATTATTTGGGGCCGGAGGTTAAGGAACTCAACGAGGCTTTGAAAGATGATGGTAAGTATCTATTTGTAGATAGTAATAAAAAACGGATTTAGTCAAAAATATCAAAAACCAATAAAGATCAAATACCTAGTATCTACTAAAAATATAGTCTGTCCAATGACAGGATCCATGACAGTGACAATTGTATCTCATTTTAATTCAGAGATAAATTCTATTTTCTGTCATTATTTATACGAGTGTTGTCGTTTATATTTTGCATATAGAAACATAGTAGGCGCCTGTCAACATATATCAAATGTCAAAATTAAATGCCATCTTTAGTTAATTTAAAGTTTGTGTAATTTAAAGTGTTTAAAGCTTAATTTTAAATAAATTGTAGATTTGATACTCAAGCACGTCAACGGAGAAATATCGTAATGATAACGGACGTTTTGAGACTTTTTGACAAATTTAATCTAACCCCTAATAAAAATATAATTGTACAGGATCTAGCAACGTCGGAAAATCGAGAATTTCAAGAAAGCTGGTTCCCTTTTTTAGGTCTTTTTTTATTACTGGCAATTTTGAACAATAAATGGATATTTTTTTGTATGGCGTATGACGTCACAGGTGATATGCGCAAACTGAACGGAATTGAAGCCGCTATCGATCATACCTTGTTTTCTTTGTATCATGTATGAATATGACATTAATCAAAATTAATAATAACTATCTCTGTAACCATCTATCAAAGAATGAAATCGAATTGATATTACCATAGAAACGCCTTTTGATTTTTAGGACTTAAAAAAATTCAACACTATTTTCACGTTTTTCATAATTTTCTCTGAAACGGTATGGAAATTTCGAAAAATATAAACGGGATAGGCCATTTTAGGACAAGCAAAAATTTTTATGAAGAATACATTTTTCTCAAAATGTCAATAATAAAAAGGTTTTTTCTCTTGTAAACCCAATCTGGGGACATACTGTATATGCAAAATATAAAAGACAACCCTTGTATATCGTCTGTTGAAATTTTCCCTAGCTTGTTGGACAGTCTATACCGGGTGCGTCTCAAAACGGACTCACCCCTATAACTTTTTTTATCTTTTCAGATAAAGAAACGAGATTTGGTATGTTAGTATATGACATAAATTAGTATTGATTGACGTGTTCAATTGTTTTTGGTCACTTCCTGTTTAACCGGAAATGACTACAACTTTTGATTTTTATATGGCACCCTCGGTATTTTTTTTACTATATTCGATAGAAAATGACTGAATAGAATGACATATCATATGTCAACTTTTGAGATTCTCGCTTAATAAAAAATCGTATTTTAAAATTCAATCGAGAGTGCCATGGGTATGCTAAAAACACAAATTCTTAATCAAGGAGCCTTGGAAAAATAGATTTGATCGTCTAACGGTTTTAGTTTCTTGTTCCGGCCAGTTAGAAAATGCTCAAATCGTATTTTTAATCATATCATAATTTTTTCAAATGTAACGAGGGTGGCTCATTAGCATATTTGGAAAAGGCATTTTTTTACGAATAATTTGATACCCATACACTTGATATTTCGAGTGAAATTTTCGATTACGAACCGCAAGTTATAATTTCATATAAACCATATGGAAAAATGTCAAAAGTTGACATATGATATGTCATTCTATTCAGAGTGTTATTTTCTATCGAATAAAGTAAAAAAATACAGAGGTGTCATTTAAAAATCAAAAGTTGTAGTCATTTCCGGTGAAACAGGAAGTAACCGAAAACAATTGAATACGTCAATTAATCCTAATTTATGTCATATACTAACATACCAAATCTCGTTTTTTTATCTGAAAAAATAAAAAAGTTATAGGGGTGAGCCACTTTTGAGACGCACCCGGTTTACAGTGTTTTTCAAGCAACTGGTTTATTAAACGTTTTTTAGAAAAAG